AGTTGCCAAAGTTTGTATTATATTATGTACTATAATATTATTATGATTTGTATAGAAGAATGAGAATTTTTGTCACTTCCTTCCGACATATGTTGAGATTATACAGTATTTTCAATAAATATATAATATATAAAATATATAAAAAATATATAATATATAATATATAATATATAATCAATACTCAATGGATTAAAATATGGTTTTGTTTTTTGTCGTTTTATAAAATACAATATCGATTGAAAGGAAATTTGATGCAAACCTCAAAAACCTGTCGCAAAACACTTTTGGCTAAAGAATAATTTAATATTTTTTTATTGAGTTTTATTTTTTTATTGTTTGCTCTATAAAACAAATAGTCATTCAAAATGTTTAGCTTATCATTTGATGTGTATTATCCATTAATTAGTGTTTTATTACTTTTATTTGCCTTTGCTTTACTTTATTTAATACATGATTTCAAATATAAATCCCATGATATAAATCTGAATCGTGAAATAAAAGCATATCATTTGATGTGTATTATCCATTAATTAGTGTTTTATTACTTTTATTTGCCTTTGCTTTACTTTATTTAATACATGATTTCAAATATAAATCCCATGATATAAATCTGAATCGTGAAATAAAAGCCCCAGAATCCATTGCAATAAACTCTGCATTACTCGCAAAAGTTGCTGAGAGTGTGGGGGAATGGATGTCTGAGATAAGTGACCAACAATTTGAATGTTATGATGAAATTGTGCGAATAATATGCCATTCATTTGTCAATTGCAATGACACGGATGGGGAGTATGAATAATCATTTACCAAAGATAACACATTTGATTACCTTTCAGTTAGTGAACTCTACTTTACCAGCCAATGAGGGTTATAATTACTAGGCGGTGAGCGCTCCCGAATATTCCTCAAAAAATTAGAAATTAAGGATAAATTGTCATTAAATCAATTAAAACGATTCAAACACGGGATCATAGCTTATGTCGAAGTTTCCGAAGTGATTAAAAGATTACAATTGTCTCCCAAAAAGCTATCGCTAAGACAATATTTGGACCACAAATTTGATCACTTATTGATGGGTCCGTGGCTTATACTGATTGAGTACAGCGTGGGATGTGTTATCTCTGACAATGTCTTACACGAAGAGTTGTTTAAGAAGTTTGTCGAGAATTGCGCCGATTTTTATATATTAAATAAAGATTTGCATTCATTTATGGGACTAACGATTAATGAAAGAAACGAAAAGATATTTAACGCGATTATAATGGTTAGCGAAAGCCATAAATTTAATTTCGATAAATGCGTGAACTTTTTAAATGAAAAATTGCTGCAAATCGAGAGTAATTTAAATGAATGTTTCGATAGAATAATATCGAGTGCTATTGATTTGCCCGACAGTTATGTCTATGCTTTGAAGCATTTTATTTATGGGCTTCTCTATTATTGTCAAATCAATAATAGGATGCCCACCGAAAAATAGCACCAAAATAGCTGTTATACTACACATGAATAACATTTCGCGATCCGGAGTTCAGATTATCATAAATAACATTTTATTATTTCATTTCTTACATCCATTAGTCTATTGGTTGCATACAATATAGCATTTAATAAAGAAATTCATTTATTCAAAAGCATTATATTTGTAATAAATGTTTGTATACTTTAATGAATCCGTCGTTTGCAACACATTTGACGCTCAGCTCTAGTCGTCATCTATTTCTTCATAGCATTCCTTAGGAATAGAGAATGAATTCAATTTATATTCATTTGAATGCATATGAAAATGGTATGAATTATAAGAAATATATAGCAATCCATACGACAATCATCGCCGCGTTGTGCATATTCTTGCGGTGCAACTCGTCGTTTGCCTGGCCTTTCGTTTTCGCTTCATTGGCCTCTATTTCATGGACAGTCCGCTCAAAACAGGCAAACATCGCCTATAATTCAATGAAATCAAACAAAATTCAATTATATTTTGCATTTCACTTGTTTAACAGATTTGTTTCTTAATTACATTTGGTTTGATGGCATAACAACAGACATCGGTTTTGTCAAACTTTCCCTCAGTATTACAGACTTCTTTCGCACACTTCTGAACCGTCTCTTTGTATTCATTAATAATTGAATTTTTTGATTAATCAATACAATGAACGCATTGTTTGTATGCAAACCTTTAAGTGAATCGCTGGCCTCGGAGTCGCATTTGTCGTATTGGTCCGCAATATCTTTGGATAACTTTTTGTCGCATCTCTTGACAAACATATTCTGTATTTTATCTTGCTGATGCAGTGTGAATCAGCAAAGTTTGCTGTTTTAGTGATGTTGGTGTTCTATATGGTGCTTAGAAAACTAACTGTAAAAGTCCTTGAAATTACGTTAAAAACCTTTAATAAGAGTATAAATATATTATAACGTTGAAAAATATTTTATGAGATTTCCCGATAATTATTAGCAAACAAGTGCTGAATAAATAAAGTTTGTTACAATAACGAAATTGCAAATACATTTTTATATGATTTTTTGATTGATTGACATTCGTTTGTATTGTTCACACGAATGTATTTTGAAGTTCAGATCTTATCCCGGAATAAATTGAAGGAATAATTGAATAATTTGTCACAATTTTACACAGCTTTTCATGAAATAGTCTATCGTACTAAATTTAATGAGTTTAAATCATTTTTATTGGGAAAATAATTTTAAATAAAAACATTGATTTTTACATAAATTCAATGTTTTAAAATTTTTAGGAATTTTCCATTTGTATTTCATTTATGATTTCAGTTGATTATTCATTAATAGTTCAAGTTAGTAATATTCAGTGTATTATTATTGATTGTTAAAGTTATTTGATTTTTGATTTATGAGTATATCAGACAAGTTACGCATAAAATCATAAAAAGTCCACTCAAATATTAAATAATAAGTTTTATTTTGTTTATTATGATACAATAAAAACAAATAACATTAATTAACAAAAATAAATTAAATAAATAAAATAAAAATTTAATAAAATTAACAAAATATTCATAAATAACTAAAATAGAGGTAATTATGAGCCGGTATTTGATGGGGTTTTGTGTTGAAAGAAACTCACCGCAGAGTAAACACTGAATAGCCACTTTGCAGCGAGTGTCAATCCTTTATGTGTCTGTTTCCCAGAGAGTAAGGACACTCGGTAATCTACATCAAAATTCAATACTGAACACGTGTACTTCATATGACAGTCAGGCCACGAGCACTGGTACTTCTTGATGCCATTGTGTGATAATTTATGTCTATTTAGTTTCGATGGCATATAATAACTATAAAATACAAATTAAATACAAGTTAATTAAATAAATGACATTTTAATTACAAATTAGGTGCTATACCTGGCCTCACAGCCGGGCCACTCGCACCGGTACGGGCGCTCGCCTTTAAAATAAAATTTAAAAACTTTTAATACAAATAGTAAAATCTAGAGCTGACTGACCCGTATGTGTAAAATTATGAACGCGTCGCCCATTTTTAGTCTTGAACTTAGCCTCACAACCGGGCCATTCGCACGGGTAGGGCTTGTTCTCCGAGTGAACGCACAGTCGATGCATCTGTTCATCAGATTTATTATAAAATTTTTTCATTTATTTAATAAATTGCTTCACAAATGTCTTACTTTTAAATCGGAATTTTTCGCGTATTTCGCATCACATCCCGGCCTAAAATGAATGGAAAGTCAGCAAACTTGACAGACATCAGCAAAATTAGATGACATACCACTCGCAGACATACGGCCACTCATTGTTGTGGACATATGAGTGACATTTGAGGCGTTGCTTAGTCTTGAAGGCCAGTTCACATCCACTCCACAGGCATTTAAAGGGCACTTCATTGCTGTGAACACTAATGGTATGTGTTTTGAGTTCACTATTCGTGACGAAAGAGGACAAGCAGTGATCGACCGGACATTTGAAGGGTTTGTGGCCGAAATGCCGGCGCCGATGGAGCTTCAGGTTTGTCACACTCTGGCACTGATAGCCACACGAATCCCAATCGCATTTGTATTGTTTGCGATTCATATTATAGATTAAATTCCCGAAATGGTTGGCCTTCTTGTGCTCGAAGAGACGCTTTCGGCCCCAAAATGGTTGTCCGCATTGACCGCAAACAAGTGGTCTCTTATTTAAATGCATTTTAGAGATATGTCGCGAAACGTTACCCTTATTTCGGTTGAAGTACTCGCAGTTGTCGTACTCACACACATAGCCCACCACTTCATCATAGTCATCATCACCTGATCCAATCAATAGATCACCAAAATTAATGCCACAGTTATGATAATGACAATACAATATCTATACCCGGATCAGTCACGTCTAAGCTCTTATCGCCCAAAATAGGCTTGGGATGAATAAAGTCGTGCCTCTGATTGCGTTTCACATCATTGTGTCCATCAATTGACTCCTTCTTTGGATCTATTTCTTGGGGTTTCACTAAATTGTTTTTATTCTTCTTGTGATGGCCTCCACTTGTCTTCACTTCAACCACTCGTTTGGATATCGTTTGCACAGTATTTCCACTGAATATCTTAGTTTTCGGTCTCTCATTAGATCCAGTGGTGATGTCTTCGGCAAATCGGTTCTCTAATAGAGTATTAATACAATTGTATTGGAGTTGCAGTTCATTGAAGACATCCTTTTGTGTGATTTGTTCACTACAGTGACAATTGGCGTAAAATTGTGTCACAAAGTTGTGGTACTTATGGCATAATTGGATCAAATGAGAGGTGATCTGCAATTCACTTAAGAGTCGACTGTTTTCTTCGTTCAACTCATTCACCAAATCATTGACACAAAGATTGACATCATTTGAGTGACACATCTTCGGCGCCATTGCGTCACTGCTCACAACCAACACATCCATTGAATCCATGTGTCAGTGAAGTGATGCATTGATCTGATGGACAATCAGTGGTCACCCATGAGATGAACTGACGTTTGCCTCAACACTGCAAATGTGTTATTGTTTTGCAAATAATCGCTATTTTTGGGGACTTTTACAAAAACACAGAATTTTCGTCAATACATGCATTCATACGGATTCTGCACTTATTCTGATGGCAAACACACACTCAGTCATAGCATGAGTTTGAATAGGATTTAGAAATTGATGCAAACATTTATTATTTATTAAACAATTTTTACAAACAAATTAATATAATTTATTAATGAATATCTAATAATTAGTGAAAGTTTGCTAAAGTTTTAGTGAAATATCTAATAATTAGTGAAAGTTTGCTAAAGTTTTGGTGAACTCCCAGGGCTGTTGGGTGATTGAGGAACAGGTGCCGTTCACCCAACCCACGGGTCCCGTGCACTGTCTGTCCCGGTTTAGTGCCCAATAGGACACTCGTCCCAATTTCTTTTGGTTGGCATAGTCTATGAGTTTCCTGAATGTGTCCACAGTATACAACTCGGAGGGCTGGTCGGTGTGTCCGTTCATTAGGATGAGACCAGTGGATGCGTATACCTGTTGCTCATTCAGGTCTGGCCTCAACTGTTTGAGCTGTTTGTGGACGTCCTCCATGATTGTGATCACACTGTTCACCTGATCAGCACCCGGTCCCCCGTAATCGAAAGCCCTGTCAAATAGCATTCAAATATGAAATATACGAAAATGGCATCAATTTCTCAACTTGCTCAAATTTGCTCAACTCACATAATCTTGTAGAGGTCGATGTGAGCGCCCAAATCAAGAGTCCGTTTGATCTCAGCCCTTCCCAACTCGCTTAACCCGACTGTCGTTGAGGGCAGAGTCAGTGTAACGAACAGATCCTTTCCCTTAGCCTTTGCGTTATCCTTCAGTATTTTGATGGCTTTGGCCCGAAGTGTCTCTCCCTGAACATCCCCCAAGTCGTCCCCTTCGATGTCGAAGTCCACGTTTGTCAGCGAATACTTGTCGATAACGATTTGGTAGGCGTTCACCAGTGCGTTCACGTCCCCACAGACGTGACCCAACTCTACGCCATTATAGCCACCAAAACTTACGGACACATCACCTCCTGAGGCACGGATTTGCTTCACTTTGCCCAACACTACGGTGTCGTCCGCTATCTTAATGCACAGAATTTATGATAAATTCGTGCGATTATTGTTTAGTATTTTATCTCACCTTTAGGTTGGCCTTTCCGTCCCACGTGGGAATGCATTTGCCGTCATCGGTGGCCAAAGGGAAAGCCATAATGAATTGTTTGACACCCGTTTGCTTAATAATCTGAGAAAAGTCAAAGTCCTGTCCGTTGTTGTCGAGTGGCATATAATAAGGCGCCGCCCGAAGGCCCCCGCAATTGACGGCCGATATGACCGACAAAACACAGGCAGCTATTCTTAAGGCTAACATTTCCGATAAGTTATGAATTGACACAAAATTGATTTAGTGTTAGCCACTGCTTATATAGGGCTCAGTAATGGTGTCCCCGAAGTACTGCCTACTTGGGAACGAAGTCATACTTTGTTATATTCATATCCTGTTTCTTATCTCTTTGTGTATTATGCGTTCAAATGACGGAAATTTAGACCGTATTTGTAAATATTAAATATATTAAATATATATTTGCTTATTTTATTGTCTGAGCAATGCTCTCATTTATACATTGACTCGTGAGATAGAAATAGAAATTAATATAATACTAGTAAATGATTCATTAATAAATTAAAGGGATTAATGTTTTTCAAGAAATTTCTTAAGGTAATGAATAATTTTAAAAAATAAATCTATGATACTATATAACACAAGCAAATATAATAATTAAAATCAACTAGAAGCTTTAAACAAATGTTTGTGACTAATGATTTCCCATTAGTTTATCGAAACAGATCTTATAAGTTGTGATTACAATACAATTTTTGTGTGTAAACAGCTTAATATTTAAAGAATATTTTTATGAATTTAATGTATATATAAATTGTTACTTAAAAATATTTTCACAATAATTCATTTGTTCAATGATTTATTTATTTAAAACGTATTGAAGTATGATTATTATAAACAATTTAAATACTGTATACATGTAATAGTCTATTATTAATAGATAACAAGCATAAATTGGCATAGCACAACTATTATTTGTAATTGTGTAATCGTATCAAACATAGCTGTCATTTGACTTATCCCTCTTGTAATAGATATAGAGATAATGAGACAGAATGTCACCAACTATCGTACCTGTGTCATTTTGTTATATTAATGATCGGACAGACTACCAGTCCAATTTGATTGTACTGTACGTATCACACGTTTAACGAATGAACATTTGTACCAGAATACAAATTATGCTACTATCGATAACGTAAATTAAATGGTAAAGCAAGTGTTATTTTCCCAACTGTACAAAGATTTTCTTGGAATAATAGTTTATCAATTTAGTATTTTTTAGTAATTTATTAATAAATTATTACAAAATCTTTGTTTAAACATTAATTTTTGATTATTAATTATGTTAAAAACAACGATAAATTAAAAAACATCTATATCTCAAAATACTGTTTTGTTCAGACGTTGAACATAATCAATAATTTGTAGATTCTGTGTGTAATTTGAAACCAACCCATGTTTTGAATCTGATATGATATCAAAACCCGAGAATTTGACATTTTGTATAAGCGATTCTGGAAGGCCTGACAAACTGATGGATTTCATGGAATCGCCGCTTATTTTCTCAAACTTTATATCTTTAAAGACAGGCGTCTTATCGGAAAAGGGCTCCGGCTTTAGATCCGTCACATCCTTCAACGCGTAAGTCATTGACATAAGAATCGCCTCTTTCTTGATGCCAATCATCGAAATATTCTTGAAATTAATATTCTGTGCGATTCCGCCTCTGCCTCGAGTGGACTTCAACGACACCCCTCTATCGGTGCCATTGAACACACAGTTACTGACCGTCACATTGCGAACACCTCCCGACTGCTCACTACCGATGGCTACACCGCTGTGTCCTCTGAACATATGGCTGTCTCTTATGATCACATTCTCTGTCGGACGCCCTATTCGTCTGCCCTGAAGATCGCGACCCGACTTAATGGCTATACAGTCATCTCCGACATCGATCCACACCTTCGATATGTAGACGTCTTTGCAAGAGTCCGGGTCTATGCCGTCGGTGTTTGGCGAGGGAACGGGTGCCTCGATTCGTACCTCTTTGATGGTGACCCCCTCGCAGTAGACAGGGTTTAGGTTCCAAAAGGGGCTGTTCTTAAAGGTTACGTCTTGTATAAGAATATTCTTCGAGTCAAACGGTTGAAAGAAAGGCGGTCTAAGAAATGCCAAATTAATTCGTGTCATGTCTTCAGTTTCGGCACCGATTTGAGTCAAATTATTTAATCGCAAAAACTCTTTCTGGTATTTCGAGTCTCTTTTGCCACTTTTGGTGTACGAGTCCAACAGCTGCTCCCTATACTGCCACCAAGAGCTTCCCTGTCCATCGAGAACTCCCTTCCCTCTAATGGTAATATTGTTTTGTTTGTAGGCGTATATAAGGGGCGAAAAGTTGGTCACTTCTGTGCCCTCCCATCTCATG